AATCATCTCCAGGCTGTAAATAAAAAACAAGGTAATTATGATTGAAGCTGTAAACTGAGCATTTTTCAAAAGTTTGGGGGTGCATGACATTGGGATCTTCTGTTTCCTTAATCTTACATCCACAAGAGTATTTTTGTAAGGGCTGCATATTTTGACAGTTATGCTCATAAATGTACACTTTACAAGATTTTATATAATCAAAAGTTTCATCACTCAACCACAAAATGTCACAAAGTTACCATTTAATTATACTTGGTTATACTTTGGTCTGGACAATTTTTTTCTCCTGAGCTCTTTGGGTAGAAAAGAGGGTAGCAAAGGGTTTCTATGTGACTCTGTTTTGTTCTTACCATCCACCAAAAGTTTTAAGTTCTTTTATCTATTTAACTTTGCAAATCTTGACGAATCTTCCTCCTTATTAACATGATTTTACTACAAATAAGTCCAACACTGATTTTAAAACAATGGTTCATAGGGCAAAATTATTTAGCCTGTCTCCAGTAACACAATATAGAGCCAAGGAACCTCATAGACCATTTTTCCATCTAGGAGAAATGCAGGAGTAAACCTTAAACCCTGTTTAAATAACTGGCCCTTAAAGTCCAGTAAGACCCTTTAAAATATAACTAGCCCAACAACAATTGAAAAATTACTCTTTATCTTGAGCTTGTGTAATTGTGATTTCAGAAATTGCAATGTACCAACTAAAACAAGGCATAAATGTCTTAAATAAGGCGAAACGACATCATGTCATGTGCATGAAATAAGAGAATCAAACAAAAACTCCACCTCCCCCTGAAATCTTACTCTCCCTGGTCCCATGTATAATCGAAATGAACTGCGAGAGCATGCCAATCATATTTTTTATTACCTCAGTAGTAAAAGACCTAAAGAACTTTACTAGCAGACGTTTTGGCTCACGTTTCATTTGATTACGTAATGGTCCAAGGTAGTGTTTTTCTCCATTTATAATCTCAGCAATGGAAATGTAATTGGAGCAAAACATGAGTCCCTATTGCGTAAGTGGCACCACTCATACAAATGCATGCTGTATGAATGCCACCACGATGGCGTTCGTAGGTAGATTCCAAAGGTATGCACAGTTCGCTTGAAATAGTTCTAATGATCATTCTTACTCATACTTTTTCGAGACGTGAGCCAAAACATCAGCTGGTACCCAGGTAGAAAAAGCCAAGTCAAGTCAGTCTTGACTATGAAGAGTAAAAAATAAAAATAAAATAACAAACTTGTGGTCAAGACTGACTTGACTTGGCTTTTTCTAGTTCATAGTCTTTTTATAGTTCATTTTGTAAAGTTCTTTAGCTCTTTTACTACTAAGGTAATAAAAAATATAATTGGCATGCTCTCACATTTCATTTCGTGAGATGATTGATTATACATGGGACCAGGGATAGTAAGATTTCAGGGGGAGGTGGAGGTTTTTATTCGATTCTTGTATTTCATGTACGTGACATGTTGTCGTTTCGCCTTATTTAAGACATTTATGCCTTGTTTTAGATGGTTTTAGATAGTTTGCGAGTGGCTGTAGATGGTTATAGGTGGTTTTAGGTCGTTCCATGTTCTAGTACTTACCAATGTACCATGCATATTTATGACAAGAGTTAGAAAATGAGTAACGCTATTTACGTTCAAAGTGACACAACTTACCATATCAATGATTTTTTGAAAATGAACGGCAACTGTGCAGCTCTGGACATTTTGATGGTTTTCTGAGTTGTGTATCAGTTGTGAAACTTTCTTTGTGCGAATCATTTTCGAGCGATAACCAAACACGAACAACATCGCATCAATAACGTTCGATTTTCCGCTTCCATTGGGGCCAACAATGGAAGAGAAATTCTGAGGAAAAATAGAATTTCAAAAGAATGACTGAGTAACAAACTAACCTTACTCGGGCAAAAGAGTTTTATTATTAGGATATTATGATCAGCCTCAGAAATGAAGACAACTAGTCAATCAAAGAAAACACGGTTGGCTATACAAACCTTATGAAATGGCCCCAATTCTTGCGTTCCCGCGTAAGACTTAAAGTTTTCATTAACTATTTTTGTAATCATTAGTCGAGCTGTACTGCTTCCGGATATTTCCGTCGCCTTTTCAGTTCCCTGATTTCCCCGCTCTGGAGCTTGATCGTTATAAACTACGTCCGCCATCTTGCTCATCCGATTTTGGCGCCAAAACAGTTTCCCATAATTCCTTACTGGTTCCATTGCTGAGAAAAACCCGAAGCAGCCGGCTGTGACTAAAAGTAAGACGGGGACGTGGGACTCGGGGACACGCGGGGACTCGGGGACAAACAACACCTAACATTTGCGCTGAATTTGTAGAGTATAATTTTCGATGGTCTCATGAAAGCTATTTTATGCTGGAGAGCTTGTTAGTAGTAGCCGATGGTTTTCAGCGTCTATGGTTCGGCCGGACATTTTTGCTTGCTTATTTGACCGTGAGAACTCTGGGTACAGAATAGTTTCAACGCAGGGGGTCTTGAAACATCCGTGCCTTATCCTTGTTAAAAAAGAATAAGGATGAAAACACACTTACTTACCAGGAAAGTCCTCCATGGCTGCTCACGATGTTAAAACTATTCTGTAAAGCTGTACTCAGAGTTCTCACGGTCCAACAGGCAAGAAAACATATCCGGCCGAACCATGGACGCTGGAAATCATCGGCTACTATTGACAAGCTCGGGTAACGTTATAGCGGAGGCGTTCGTCGAGGATCGAACACACAAGTTTATAGTTCAGCGATTAAATTCAAAATAGGTTATGTAGGC